TGCTATTTGCCGAGCGTATATTTGTCGAGCAACGTCGGTCCACGACACAGCGGTTCTCAACCTGACTCTTTCAACTATGTACATATTAATATCCTGCATTATGCACTTAAGAGGACAGTCTGATAGTATGAAATCAATAAAATCGTTTTCCTTTTTCCCAAGGAGTCAGGACAGAGTGACGGGCTAAAGAATACAGTGGCTACAAGCTTTGGGGAGCGTTAACAGTATAGGTACCATTCGTACGCGAAGAGTATAGCACTGTGGTGTATCTACACTCGGTTCGAATGACCACGTCTCTGCAACATCCATCACAGATGTATGGAACAACAAAGGCTGCCTGGACAAACAGTCCCTCCTTTTCTCTCTTTCGCTTGCTGTCTTTTTCTACGTTCGACGCAACACCGTCGAGTGGCCGAGACTGTCTTTTTCTTTTATTTAAACTTTGTTCTTTTCTACGTTCGGAATGACCGAAGAACGTGTCCACAAAAGGGGTATCGAGTTTCGTGTCCCTATGACTTATAGATACCAACGGCTTTCTACACTTCTTGCAAGCTTTCAACGATGCCTGCCAAAATAACAGTTTGTAATTAGTTTAACACCCCCTTGGACGATTTTAGAGGCCTGTAAGGTTGCGACACGAATACCCAGGGTAAATCACGTAAGTTGCGTCACGCCACTGCGGTGACTCGTAAAAAATGCATCGAGTTAACGTGCCGCGTCGGGATCCTCGTAAATACAACGGAACTCTCGCTGTCGCGGCGTCGCAGTTTATGAAATGTTAAATCAACCCAATTACGCGGTTGGAGTTGGCATACTGACCGCGTAATTCACCCTCTCGGAGAAACGAGAGGGGTGGGAGGCGTTCGTCCGATTCTAAGATGATAGATCGAGTGAAAAAATCCATTCGACTATTCGAAAGCGGGATAGGTTAGCTCGACCTGATACAAGAATTATTCAAATACGTAAATTCTATGACTCGGGGGCGAGGAACAATTTTCGTACGCGTGTTTAATTCACACAGGAAATAATACCCACGTATCGTTATAAATCCGGAACGCTAGTCAGTCTCTGGAGTCATGAGTGTTCCGAAAGTCTCGTGGATAGGTCGGAAGTCAAGATGACGGTTAGAGAGAGCTCGAGGGAATGTTCCAAAAGTTTCTCGGAAGATCAGAACCGTCGGGAGCTAAGTCGAGGGAAAGCTGAATGGAATATCACGGAAGTCTCGAAACTCTAAACCATCTAACCCTTGCTCCCGTTACGCGTAATCGTGTTCAACAGGATCTTCAAGAACTCCGCGAGAATTTTTTGGAACTTTTTCGAAAATTTTACCCTACAGGCAAAGTTGGGGAACTCGGGGATTCGGAAAATTTTCGAACATTGTATACAAGTTGCGTAGATAACGCCAGAAAATTCTGTTTCTTGACGCTGCAGGCGTCTATTCATCGTTCAAAGTCTGTGTGTTTGTGATTTCTCTGGAATTCTTACAATTTTTCTCCGATTCCGATAAAATTTTGTTTTGCTGGTCTTAAACTGCTTAATTTGCAAAACCATTAAATAGCAAGAAGTCGTAATTGATTGAGAAAAATAATGCAAAATTTAGGCGTCAATTATACTTGAAGATACTAGTTAAAAACTTAATGTCCATGTACAGTGTAATGTACAGCAGGTACCGGAAGATGTTAAAATATCGAACTTCAGATTGTACACGTTTGGTAAATATCCTGGTTGTTCTACCGGGAGCCTGGAACTTCCGTAAAGATAGGAAACGCGCGTAGTACAACAGTTCCGGACTCTGGAGGCTCGTAACTTTATCTACGGTGTTCTAAACGACTTCTGGTGGCTCTAATGCTAGCGTAGGAACTACCCTGCTTTGGGAATTTTTGCGAATTCAGTTGGCAATCCTGTTTCCCTCGCATCTATTCTTTCCTCCCGAGCTAGTATCGCGTGATTTTTTTATTTTCATTTCCTTGCCGATGCCGGGAACGATTTCGTGATATCCCCCTTCGAACAAGAGAACAAAGAATCGTAGCAAGGCGGAAGTTATGTTCGATGGGTATTGTTCGTGTCAATGTAAAATATTGAGAGAGTATGTAAAATAATTCAAAATCATTTTTTGTCGGTGTCGTAACAATTCAAAATAAATAATTTTTACCTTTGAAATAGGTGGTGGAATAAAAACAATTCGAACGAAATAACTTTTAACTAGGCTCCTTTCTGTATCTCGAAACGCGAAACGCAACATACGCATTGATGGTTTTTGTCACATAAAGAAAATTTGCTATTTTAGAAGAGAAAAACCAACATTTAATATCATCCTGTTAAATGAATCACCCTGTATAAGAGGTTCAAAATTAAAGGGTTAATATAGTCTTCACGTATCTATAACGCACCCCTTCGCACGTAGCAGTACGTCACCTAAAAGTTAGGTTATGATTTACCAACGCGTCGAGCGATGCGAACGAGTTAATGGAGAACGAAAAGGCGGATGTCTGTCAATCGCAAAGAAAATCAAACTACTTTGCCGACTGCATTACGTTGGAACGACTTTCATTTCCTTTTATCGGGCAACGGCGCCCAGGAGCATTACAGAAAGTAAAAATACGAGGGATAATTTGAAGATGACGTCCAAAGCCAAGATGAACGTCAGTCAGAGCTAACGACGGAAATCGCGAACTAAAGACCACCAATCAAACGATTGAAACAACGCGATATACTCGTCAATTATTGATCCATTCAACAGCTGTCCGCGAAACAATCTTATCAGATAAGTTATTCGTTCACTTGAAATCGAGAAAATTATTCGATCAGAAATCGTACAAAATATTATCCAATGCCCCATCGTGCGTTTTAATGGCAAAAAAAAATTATAGAGTATTGTCGCAAAGAATTCGTGAATACGCTCTCTGTCTCGACCGCCGCGTCAAAATGGCGTAACTATTTAACGGTAACATTGATGCTACGCAGTCTGACTACGGTTTCCCAAACTCGTAGCTACCAGGCAACCGCGTGTGCAGGAGCACCGGAGCGAATGAAATTATTTCGTCTCGCTGTAAACGATTATCTGGTCCTGCATTCTGTGCTCGGATAATACGATCCCGGTTCCAGAACGTGAACACGCGTGTTTCCAGTGGGTCTTGGGAGTCCAAGGCATGCTAGTTAATAGGTCAATGCCGGCGGCTCCCACACTTGGTTTAACCCTTTCACGACGGCCTATTCATCGTCGGTGACCTAACCCAGACCTAACTCAGACCAACGTTAGGCCGGTATACCCCTACTCGTTTTTCGCTAACCATCGAAATTCGAGGATACTTTGCCGGAGTACCCCTTCATCGTTCGCGTCAAAGCAACCGTCTCGCGTTCACGATCCTGCGACGAGTCTTTAGGCGTCTCGTGTTCAAAATCCAACAAATAACTTTCGGCGTAGCAGTGTTGGCTATCCTTTCGTCGGCGTTCAAGAATCGAGGATCATATTACGCTTCAAGAGTCGTAAGGGCGAACTTCGCAAAGACACGGTTAGAAAAAAAGCATTCTGCTTAAATGTGGATAAAAATGTCGAATAATGAATTAAAGACAAACGTATCATGAAGCATTTTATAACGAGCAAATAAACAATTTAACTATGCGCTCCAATAAACATCACGAATAAATTGATATTTTGTTAGTTTTGTCACGCACTTATTTGTTTTATTTCGTCCTGATCTCCAAAGATTCTAAACATATTGAAACTTACAAATATATTTTAGTTTTCGCTAAAAATACAAATTAAATAGCAAGTGTTAATCAAATTTTACGCATGACGGATATAGTCGCCATGACACAAAATACTGTTATTTCTCCGTGACGGATATAGTCGTCGAACACACTTGACTGGTTAAAAGATCATTTTATAATCGTCTGAAAATAGCAGAATTCAAAGTTCTGTAACTCTGTCGAAAAGAGCAATACAACGACGTGAAAAAAAGTACGTTTAGAAAGCTTGAAGCCCCGGCTTGAAAAGCGTATTGAGCGATTTCCCGAGCGATGTTTTTCTAAGCAGTGACACCATTTCCAAGTCGATCGTGTGAAATTTTTTAAGAATTCCTCAACTTCGAGGCCACGCATTTTTTTCTTTCAATTTTCACCAACGACGCATTAAACTTTTGAGTCTCGCCTCTAATTCTGTACCTTTTGATTAGGCTACGATCCTTTTACTCGGAATTATTGCGATTCAAAGGGGATTCCTGCTACGAGGACGGTTGCACGATCAGACTCGAATGTGTGTTGAATATGTAGACTATTATAAACCGCTATCGAGACTCAAGATATTCAAGACATTCAAGACTTTTGAGACCCTCGAGACTTTTTTAAAAACTTGAAACCATTTCTGTCAGAAAACTGTGAGGCTGTCAATACGTCAGTAAGTAGAGTTTCTCATGCTGAGTGAGAACCACTAACGCAGCTGTATGCAGGTTGCCTATCTACAGGCGGAACTTTAGACGTTAATAACTTTTTAACGAAGCCTCGATCAACAAATTGACATTCTTGATTTTCGTCTTATTTTGGCCTCTAGAATCTCCCATCAAAATTTTTCCCGTAAACGTTATACACGAATACAGTGCCCACGGATCCATGGCCCGGTGAAATTCGCGCATGAATCTATCGCGGCAGCGAACGTGTTAAAACCGAAACAAAGCCGCCCGTAATGCCGGAGTCTATCCACGGTCAACGCGACTAATCTTGTTACGCGTAGAAACTTTTATCTCTGCGCGCTTACCGCGGTTACGTAAAGTTATTAGTTCGACCTATTTCCGCGTGAGAGGGAAGGAGAGGGCGCACGAGCATGAAAGAGCACACGCGCTAAAATGCCATGAATTCCAACAAAAGCATACTTGGTATTCCCTCTCTGCCCCTTTCTCTCTGCCCGGGGAGCCGACCTGCTGATTCCACAGAGACCCGGCATTGTATTCCCGTTCAATCATCGATTCATCGGAAAAGGAAACCAATCAAAGTATCGAACTCACGTTGACTGCTGCTCCGTCGTATGATGTTTTCCAAGAATGTGTTTTGCGGGGCGACCAGGCCCCTGCGCCCCCCTGGCATCCTTTCTCCCTTGGATGATCCTGGATCCTGGTCGCTGCGGCTATCAGGACCTCGGCCAGCCTCTGGCTACGACGATCGCGGGCTGTCTTCCACGCCTCATATCAATCACCTCTTCTTCCGATCACCACACTTTTTACCTTCCCTCTCTCTCTCTCTCTCTCTCTCTCTCGCTCTCGCTCTCTTTGGACTGCTCCGAACACGCGACAACGACGCACTTCACTAACTGAATGTCATCACTCGAGGGTTGTTCACCATCGTGAAGCGTCCGAATCACAACGACGGCGTTAGAAACCGGATCGAACCAGGGACCTTCAGCCCCGCGTAGGCTCCGACACGGTCATCCAATAGTCCGGGCCAATACTCCGCGCGCGAAACGAGAAACAAGAAACGGACCGGTCACTCGGTAGCCGCGCGACGGTCTATTCCCCCTGGCTCCTCCTGCGGAACGTTCAGTCTTCTATAGTACGGAGCAACGATTATCGGATCGGACGACGAGCAACGACCGTTCCCTTTCGATCAGGATTACCGTTGAGCACCCTGGGATCGCGTGTACAGCCGACTAGGATGGGATTGGACGCGTTCGTCGTCACCTGATCAAGCTGGCCCAGGGACCGACGGTGCTAGGATTTCGCCAGCTCGCACCTTCAGCTTCTGGCGATCCCGGTCGTGTTGGAGGACCGGTCGTCGAGAGACGACGCCCCAATGAGGACAATGACGACGACGACGACGGTGGGTACGAGGTGGACGGTGGTCCTGATCTATCGGGGCACCGACCACAACGTCGATGGGCTCGCGGATGTGTCCTTGGCTGGTGGACGCACGATCGATGACCCATCTAACCGCAGTCCTTCCAGGTGATCGCGCGCGCTATCACGGATACCCGACGGCAAGTAATTAGACGACTGCGCGGTACCTGCCACGTCGTTCTCCACATCCTCGGCGTCCTCCTCGGCGTCGGTGCAGCTGGTGCCCGCGGAGGAGAACATCCCTTAGAGAGGGGAACGCGGCTGGCGAGCAATCCTTGATCACATCGTTGCGTCTCAGCCGCGGGACACTGGGCTCGATGTTGCCGCGACCGATCTGCCTCGATCGTAATCGGGTCCGCTCGGGGACGCTCGCTACGCGAAACTGGGGCCAATCGGTTCCGATGGAGCTCGGTAGGGAGTTAGGCGATCGTTCAACGGACGGGAGCGCTGTAACGGAAAAGAAAGACGGTTAATGCTAGGTTGAGGCTCGAGAAGCGGATCGGGTTTATGGCGGTTTGATTCCTGTTTTTTTTTAACTAGTATTTTTAACTACGATTACTAATATTATTATTAAGAGGTACAGTGGGATGTCCAATAGAATAGGTCCAAGAAAAAACCGTCCTTGCAGGCAACAGTACTTTGAGAAAGAAATACGTGCTGAATAACCTCATCCCTCGACTCGTCCCAACCCTCCAGAGGCACCAAATTACTCGATCCACCGAGGAGCTTCGCGAAGACCAAGAAACGAGAATGGTGTTGAAACAAAACATTGCCTATTTGTAGCCGTTCTCAAACATCCCAGTTACTTTAAATATGTGAAATTTACAATGTACGGAGTTGGGTCGTGGTAATTCTCAAACAAAGCTACCACGCAAAAATATCACTAGACGCTTGAATAAATTCTTTTGCGAAGAAAATTGAAATCAAAACATACCAGCAGATGAAAGGGAAAATTAAAAACTGTTTGAATGAAATAAACATTAATTTGATATATTCAAATGTACGCATCGGACGAAATAATTTTCCGATGCACGCAATTTTTCTGCTTTTCCCAAACGCTGGTAATCTGAAACGACCATCCCTAAAAAATTCATACCTTCTGTATGCAGGGTTTTTAATTACAGATGGACGTCCTTTTTGAGGTAATCCTACAGGCCAAAATTGCGGTAGAGGCTTTGCTTTAATATTATAATAAATTAAACATTAGGGTCGAGTGTGCTTGGCGCTCAGTGACCTGCGAATCATTAACGCATGCGCGAAAGCTTTGTCGAAACGCGTCCAATGGCGGCTTGGAAATGCCCAGAGACACCATGTTATAACCAAAATGAGAAAAAATTGAAATATAACCGCTATATTTTTTATTTAAAACAATTTTGGTTACTTAAATCATTATAAATGGCGAAAATTGCTTTTGGTTATGAATAAAAATATTACAAAATAAACAGCATCAAATTTCCAATAATTTTGCGCAATCTTCATAGCATATTTTAAAAATGCTTTGTACCTTGTGCCAAACAATCTTTCTGCTTTGATATTCACTTCTCACTGTTCTTAAAATTCTTTTTTCAATTTCTTTGTATTTTGCAATTATTTTTTAACCATATTATATATTTAAAAACCATATAAATTATACGTAAGAACAACCACCCGAATTTGATTCTCATTATAAAGACGCTTGTGATAAATAAATAAAAAGCACAATGGCAGAGTGGATTGGTTCGGGTGACAGTAATTGGGTATCGTACCCTATTAGTGTCAGAAACGATATGCATATAAGATTAGGCTAATTTCCTCGACAGCGTGGTTCGGTGCAGGCGTCAAGCTGCCAAACGGCGGAGAGAAAATTGTGTTTTCATGTGGCGAACGATAAATCGTGCCAAGTTATTTTTATAGATACGAGGAGTCGTATTTACTCGAAACAGTGACGCTGGGAGGGCCGGCTCGTACAACAATGTCGACCCCGTCGAAGGTCTTCGGCGAGAACGTAAATAATTGGACGGAAAGTTCGTCGAAGAAGCTCTGCAGTCGGGCACCGGTAACGCGGTAGAAATTTTCGAGACGTTCGATGGCCAAGAAATCAGCGAAAAAAGACACGAAGAAACGAGAGTTCGGCCGCGTGACTGGAATTCAAATCAAGTAACGGAAATCGTTACCGACGGAAACAAAGAACTTCGTTCCCATGGTCGAGCAAACTGCACGGAGTATGAAAACTTCCCTGGCCACGTTCGCAAAATGTAGAACTCCTTATTTATTGGCGAGAATAAACCTCGTAAATGGGGTTAGGATCGAACTCGATATCGCGAATGGAAGTCGATTCCAACGGCCAACAATTCGCAGAATACGTGGAGTCTACGACAAACCTACCAGGCGTGCACTGCCCCCACTCCTCGTCCCACATCCTCCAATGAAATAGTGTACAGTCGCTTCCTTCCATCTCAAGGTCAAGCGGTTCAGACGCGTGTCAGACGTACACGTAAATTGTACCAAATCGTCTTGCACTATTTAGTCTCCCGTACGTTGGGTGTTAGGTTAGGTTTGTTCCCGATTGTATGCAACCTATTTGAATTAATTAATTTACAGCCAATTATGCGTAGGTATTTATTTTATACGTTTGACTTAATTCCTATTTATTTTATTTGAAACGTTCAATGAAAATAATTTTATAAAGCGAAACTCCATGAAGATTGAGGTCTTGTAGTTGCCCCCTTTTCGCTAGACCACTTCTGAATGTAAAATTTCTGAAGCCTTGATCCAGAGAAGTTCTAATTTCGTTGATGCCCGGCAAACAAACGTTACGTCGTCGGCAATAATGGAATTCCTAGCGCCATTAGTCTCGTTTAGAAAGTTCCCAAGTACTATCGAATGGATATTGTTTGAAAACGGAATGCGCAAGACGGTTGGTGTTTGTTCGAAAAGTTTTCAGGCGCAGTTGACGCGAGATCTATCGGAAGTCGAACGTACTGAACGCTTTCTACCGATCTGTGTGTAGCGATGCGATCCAGTACCCCGCAAATAGGTTCGAAACCTAACCTCCTTGATTCGAACGCTCTACAGGGGGTTCATGAATTGGTGGTGCAGCTCGAAGGGGGATGGAATCTACATGAAAAAAAATCAATTTTGAAAACTTTTTGATATCGAAATTCTGTTAATACACCAGAACCTTGATAATTGAACAAATGGGGTTGAAATTTCTGCAATACACGATACACGCTGCCTTAGGCAATGTATCCCCATTACATATGAGCTACGCGTACCGCCTCCAACGTCACTTGTTGCTTAGCGACCATCTCCACCACTTGTCGATATTATGCAATAAACGAGATTCTCATGCAACACTCGAAGTTGCAATGACCGAGGTTCTATTGCATTTCGCTGGTGTATATTAGTGCTTAAAAGTACAACCACGTACAAATTACTATGAATATCTTTTATTTCGAATAATCTATGAAGCTTCAATTTTCAGTTTTGAGACACCAATTGACATATTATATAACCTATCATTATACTTTTGTAAGTAAACGAATCTTCGTTTGATTTTGACGAAAATAATAAGAGTTATCGAGAAATCAGAAACACACAGATTTGGTCATTAATATTAAACATTTTTTTTCGTCTAAGAGCCAGAGGGCCACAGATTGAGAAACACTGCATCAATCGATCCAACCCCCGAAATAGCGGATCTGTGCACTGGCATTTCCAGACTAAAATTAAATCGGCCGAATGGCTGAAAATCGACCCGATACCTTCGAATTATCGTATCCACGGCGAGGATGGTTCGCGCTGCTGCCTCCACGAACGCTAATTACGCGAGATCGAATCGTATCGGTCGATCTGTTTCCTAATATTTACATGCAAGAACGTTTTACACGGCGTGCGCGTCCTATCGGTTTATCTGCGCGTTCTACGCTCCCATAATCACTCGGAACTGCCACACGTATTGACTTATCGCTCGTTTAATACACACTTACAAAGATATATTGCCCGTAAACAAAAGCACGTGACTTTGATAAGAGTTATTTATTGGTATGCACCTAAAGTACGGTGTCCACTTTAAAGCAATTGGGTTTAAGACAAAGGGAAAGATGAATTTATAAAGTATTTTTATATAAGATTTTTATAAAACTTTGTTGTACTATCTTATAAACATAAAAATATCTGCAACCTTTGTTTAAACTTTTTTCAATATTTCTTTATCTCGGATACACTAAAAATGGACGCACAATATTTGTGATGTAAATTATCAATATAAATCCGTTTATTCCGGGGATACTAATGCGTTACTAAGCTTAAACAATCTCGTCTCGAAAGGAACGGCTTTAAAGTCTGACAAGAAGCGTTAGGGTGTTGGGCAGCTCGTTTCAAAGTCTTGCAACTTTGTCAATTTATCGAATTTCACAGTAATACTTTATAATTATGTTTTTCAAGTCTGAAACTTCGAGCGGGGCAAGAAAGAAAATCGAGTTTTTTTCAACTTAGCAATAGGCAGACCTCTTAAGGCAGCGTTTTCTAAAGTAGGGGGCGTAACCTTTAAGGGGGTGGCCTTTACAATTCAATGAGGGCGCGAAACAAACTTTTCACTTAGGAAAATATGATTCGCTTAAACATCTATTTCTATTAATAAATTAAGTATAAAAGTTTAACAACCATCATATTTTTGAATCGGTAATTGAAAAATCAAATCACCGTGATTGAAAAAATAGACGACGTCTCTGGTTTTTGGTACCTACACACACATCTGCGAACCTGCACAGTTTCATCGAAATCGGCGTCGGACACTTCCTTGTCAATTCGCCCGAAGGGAGGATTACCTTTCCTCTCCTCCTTGCTTCGCAGCAATGTCAGATTCAAGCTCGTTTCCCCGATACCCTTTGTTTTGTCAGGCATTGTGGTATCCGGGATTACTCCCGATACCGTCGCACCACCCGTCGTTTCGTGTCGTTTCGAAAATTGTTCCCGGTAATAACTTTTGTATCCCTCTGTCCCATCCCACTGTAACGCGTCTGCCATTCGTATTTCACCGAATTCCCTACCCCCGTTCGGGGTTCAGAGGGGGCACTCCTCATACCTTCGCCACGAAAGAACTATGTTGGAAGACCAGTCCTCTGTTTACTATCTGTATCTATCCTGAGTCACAATACCCTGCCGTCAAATAGCCGAATTCCGCAAAAACATCTTAGACAGCGTGCTGCGCTGACTAAGTCGCTCAAAGTACAATTTCGTGCAAAGATCATCTTCCATCACCTCCGTCGCTAAGGGCTCGCCCTTCCCCATCGATTTACCAGAATATAGAATATATATATATATATAGGAGTCAAAACATAGGGACTCAGATTCAGTACGAATTCGAATACGATCAGTTCACGTCACGTCATTCCTCGTTTAGTCTTATCGTAGAACTTTAGTTGCTGTAACCGAGTAATATTAGAAACCACTGCGAAATATATTAT